GGGCGTTAACTTAGAGAAGGAGCCGAACACGAACTTCTTAACGAGCGGAATACAAGTTGTTCGCGGACAACGAGTATTTTTGACAGACCTAGATATGCCTCTTCTGTAATTTTATACTACTGAAAAATAGAAAAAAAAAAAAAAAATTGTTCCTCAATTTTCATAACCATAAATTATCAACCAAAATCTGAGTTTGTACAGGCTCTTTATTAGATAACAATAAGCAGAAGCCACGAGTAATCGTTTATTTATTCAAACTTTATGAATATATATATATATATATATATATATCACTTAATTTCTATTTAACAACTGAACCTAAATTTTTACATATTTGTCATCTTATAAATAAAAAGATGTGTTTAACTTTTAAAATAGTAATATTTTTTATGTATATGAAATATTTGGGTGATATAAATATAAAAGTAAAGTTTAGATCTTAGATATATAAAAAAAACATAAGAATTGGGTGGTATGTATGCAAATGCCTGGTATTGTATTAAAGATTATAATGATATAACTCCAATAAATTTCCATCATTTAGCATGATTCAAGCACAATACGGATCTCAAGACAATCTTGGCGTAAGAAACGTTCGAACCTTGATTAAGGGTCATCCAGAATTTCGATTACAACAAATTTATAGTCAAATTGACCGGCTTGACAAGCCGGATCCAATGATATCAAATTGACCAAATTCAAGTCAAATTCAGCTCAGATCAAGCCATTAAATCATTTTTGGATGTTTTATGGACACATTTGGAAGGTTAAACAAATATCGATTATGATGAGTTTATAGTCAAATCGAGCGTCTCGATAATACGGATCCAACAATCCTTAGATCGCTCAATTTTGACACCATTAAGATACATAAATGTTCTTCGAACGCGTCATCCGATCAAGGGAAGCTTTTCGAGCTGTCCAATCAAAGTGGTTCATTTTCATGTATTAATTGCACCAAAAACTTTATAAATAGATCCCTACCCCTCTCATGAGGGGGAGGAGAGCGTGAAGCATTGAGAAGGGGCTGAAGTGCAACACCACTCATGACGCTGTCGACCATTACCGACTACCATTGAGCACCGCTGACAACCGTTGCTAACGCTGACCGCTGACCGCCCTCCCCACCGCCAATCGCCGTCGACCCCCACTGATCGTCGTCAACCCACGCTGACCGCCATCACCACCATTGACTGTCGTCGACCGCCATCCCCACTGTCAACTTACGTTGATCACCGTCGATCGTCGTCGATCGCTATCAGTCGCCTCCCATTCATAGCAACAATTTTATCCCCCATCTACGTTGTAACTTGGGAAGCCTAATAAACTTTTCCTGCGTGTGGGACAAGAGATTATAATTGTAATCATCTTTTTAGAGAGGAACTCTTTAGCAGGGCTGGTCCCGTAGTCTTTTCCTTTACGGGTTTTCCACATAAAATCTTCTGGTGTCATTACTGGTTGTTTTCTTTCTTATGAATTTGTGTTGAATCTTCGTACCAAACTAAGATGATAATATGCTACTCTCGAACTTTCTAGCACACATCATTTTGGCGCAGCTTGTGGGAAATAGATAATCCCACAACTAAAGTACTTGCGAGGCTCACTATATGACCATCGCTCAATACTCGTGACAACAGAACATCACGCTCCAACACCCATTGTTCCAGGGAGCTGTTATAGAGCCAAGGGAAGCATGCCTCATTATCTTCTCGCCCTAGAAGACGTTATTCTGTAGACGAGGGTGTCTCGGGGCCTTCTCTGGAAAACCGATTGTGTCGAATGGAGGAGTCTCAACTAGAGATCCTAGAGCTCCTATGAGGGGCTCAACAACTGCTAGCCACATTGTTGGATGAAATTTGTTTACCACTAGCTCGGCAACCTACGGTAAATGTGCTGCTTGAAAATATGTGTATCGGTCCCCCTCCTTGAGAGGAAATATTTCCTCTGCCATGACGGGATGCTGATCTTCTGGATACCACCAGTTCCACTCATCCATCTCGCTTAGTTCATCCGACACCGCCCCACCTTACTGCGGTTCCTAATAATGTCATCCATGACGAGCTACAACGTCTGGTCCGGGAAGAGTTCCTTCTAGAAAATAGGGATCGTTTCCTTACTCGTCGCAACTTCCAAGAATCATTGCCCTAGCAGAGGCAGTTCTCCAACATCCTATCTCAGCAGGCTTCAAGCTGCCGAACATTTACACTATGAATGGGTAATTAACCCTTATGAGCATGTTGATCATTACCAAACCATCATGCACATTTAGTGTGTCTCTAATGTACTTTTATGCGAATTATTCATGACCAATCTTAAATGGCAAGCTCGTACTTAATTCTACTCTCTTCCAGAGGGTGTTGTTAACACTTTTAATGAGCTTGCCAGATATTTTGTGGAGCAGTTCATGGCAAACCGACGAATCGTCAAAGATTTATCCTATATCTCAGGAATTCACAAAAGTGAAGAAGAATCACTTAAGAACCACTTCCACAGGTTCTCTGTTGAAGGTCTTCAGATTTTGGGAGCGGAGTCTTCCTTGGAGGCCTCCACCCAGAACCTTTATAATCATCACTGATGTGGGAGATGGTCTGCTCTTACGACTACTTTATCCACCTTGTTGAGGCACAAATCACTGCATATGAGGCCAACAACATGCATAAGGAGCAATTCAAGCAATTTGGAAGAAAACACAAAAGCAACGTCGACGACAATAATTAATCCTTACAACAAAGAAAGTCCAAACAACAAGGGAATCACGACCTTCCTCTTCGACCTAAAATCCAGCGAAGTGAGCATTGACCTAAGAAAGAATATATTCCACTTAACACCTTGCGTGTTAACGTTCTAATGATCATCAAAGATGAGGAAACTATTAAGTGGCCTCATCCCCTAAAATCTAACTTCGGGAATCATGAACAATATTGTCATTTCCATCGAGTTCGTGGCCAC